ATTTATTTCTGTGATGCAAAGCTGAATTTCCAGCATCATTACTCAAGTCTTTAGTGTCACATGATCCTAAAGAAATCATTCTAATATGCTGATTTGTTATCATTGTTGAAACTGTTGTGCTGCTTAATATTTTTTTGGAACCTGTATTACTTTTTTTCAGGATTCTTTGATGAATAACAAGTTAAAAAGAAGAGCATTTATTTAAAATATAATTTTTTTCGAACAATATACACAACAGTTCAAAAGTTTGGGGTTTTTGAAAGAAATTAAAACTTTTATTCAGCAAGGATGTGTTTAATTGTTAAGAAGTGGTAGCAAAGATTTATATTGTTAGAAAATATGTATATTTTGAATAAATGCAGTTCTTTTTAACTTTTTATTCATCAAAGAATCCTGAAAAAAGTATCGCAGTTTCCAAAAAAATATTTGGCAGCACAACTGGCCTTCCAAAAGAGGACACGACTAGAAATCAGTGGTTAAGTTGTATTTACAACACTGTTCCAGAACAGTTCAACCAAATATTCAGATGTGTGCATTGCATTTTACGGAGGACAAGGACTGTTTCCTGGGAGAGTAGCCTATAATGCCGGTGTTCCAGTGAATTCAGTTCCCCTGCTTCCCCTGCGGCGCGCATGCTGACCATACAGTCTATGATGCTGACAAATAATGCTGACTCACAGCCTGTAAGTACGTTTTCATATTTAAAGGGGCGGGGCATAGAGGAGAAACAATAATGTACAGTATGTGGAAAATGTGTTTTTTGAACCTTAAACCGCATAAACACATTTCATTACACCAGATACACAAAATAATGTTCTTTTTAGCAACGTCGTATGACCCCTTTAACATTCATTGCTTTATTCCGCATTTTGTGTTCATGTTCCTTCAAGATAAAGCTGTCAATTGCCATGAATTTAGAGATCTGTAAAACCATCATCACCATCAGATGGCTAGTTTTAATCCCTGCAAAAGACACGTTTATTTGAATAATTAGTGATTCAATATATATCACCAAAGCCAATATATCAGCAAATATTTGGCATTTTTAAATGATCAGCATTGGCCGATTAGTTTTTTTCTGTTTGGATTTAATTTTCTGTTTTGGCACTGGAAGCAGCTTTTTTTAAATTTTTTTTAATTTTTTTTAATTTTTTATTTTTTTCATTGCTAGAAATGTCACATCTGATTATCTTTAAATCTTACTTCTAAAGCCGATATATCACTTTGCGCTGTATCCAGTTTGCAAGTCACTGTGTGCTGTGTGTAAAACTTGCTCTGTATTTCAGAAGATATGTTTTCCAGTGTTCATTACTATGATACTGTAGGATTACACAGTCAAGAAGTTGCAAAAGACAGATTTTTTTAATGAAGTATTTTTTTCATGTTGATTAATTTTACAATTAATTATTTCTAATTTAGTAAATGGAAAATAATTCTGTTTCATTGCATCACTTGTTATGGCCATCAATAACATAAGTGTCGGTCAAGCACTATACATAATACTTTGCAAAATTATTGTCTTTTAGATATTGTCATCTACAACCATGATGGGATTAATTACTGGAGCATTAGGAAGACCGAAAACACAACACCCCAAATATTTTTTTTATTGTCTCTAAATGTATTTTCTATAACTTGTTTTCTCAAGATTAACTAATCTGGTATTTTACAACCAGCTCTGAATCTTGTTTGATTTTCACAGATATGAAGACCAAATGCTGCTCAAGTACAGAACAACTACAAACAAACACAACTGTCTGCAGAGCTCTCAATGTTAATATATGTTTTGACAGAATTGTCATTTATGATAAGTTCTTGTCTTGTTCCTTCATTTTTCTACTTTTGTAAAACTCTGGAAGTTGTTGAAACAAATTAAATGCCTTTAAAATCAATTCAGTGGTCCTGTGGTGTTTTTATTGTTACAAATCTAGGTAATAACATAAGAAGTAAATCTTTGTGTTTGAGATGTATTTAAAATATATATAATTAGTAATAAATGTAACATTGAAAAACTATATTTTATTTTATTTTAAATGAAAGCAGAAGCCACAGTCAGGCCACAGTCTCTATTTATTAATATTGCGCTGAACACAATTGCAGTGTGGAGCACAAATGGTTAAAACAAGCTCCCACATCTGGACATAGTTTAGGGCAGAAGGAAGTGAGAGTGAACGCAGAAATATTCCTTCTCACAACAGCTGTCTTTAAGAAAGAGGGACTGTGTCACACTCAACCTCAGCGATGACTCTTCTGTTACTTCTAATCATTTTTCTTCTGCCAGGTGAGCTTTCATCATTCTTTTTTTGCAAAAATAGCTTCAGCTATTTAAAGGCATTTGTCAAAGCTGTGTTTATGGGAGTTTACAAAGACAATCCACAGCTAAAATTGGTAATGCGTTAAAACATCCACTCTTCTGAACAATATATTGAACTGTTTGCAGTTTTAAAACTTGGAATGTAAGTGTTTCTAGCAGTAGCTAAGATGAGTTTTCATAGGAAGAAAAACACTGTGACCTAAATTCCTCAATGTACTTTAGAGTGCCTTCTATTAACTCAACCTTTCCAAACACATGTTTTTAAGTTCTTCGTTTTCAAAAGAGTCATTAGAATATACATGTGAAAATATCATGTTTTTGTTATTTGGCTTTTTCTGCTTGATTGTTGTTTGTTGGAGACTGATGGACAATAACGGATGGATGTTCTGAATTTCATTCGTTAAATGAAAAACTGGAAATAAATAAAATGGCAGTGAAAACAGGCCTGTTGGCCACAGTAACGCAGTCGGCCATTTCATGCACAAACACATTGTTTCATTTTCAATAATTTCAATAAGCAAAACATCTATGAGTTTTAGCTTATAAAGACAACATTTAAATTGTGATAAAGGTGTTGTGACTATTTACTGTTTTACTTTTATTTTGTTTTATTTCTTTTCTTTTTTTGCTATTATGAGTGTAAATGAAACCAGAAGCATTCTGGCGTTATGATTAATGTTATAATGAACAAATTAATTTTTTTCCAGGCAGTGTGTAATCCTCCCTTGCCAAAACAAACAAATAAATAAAAGTTGATCGCTGGAGACTTAATTTTTTTAGGCCAAGAAAAACAATTATAACTGAAGTTATGATATATTTGTATTTCAGTATATGTTTGAATGCTACAGAACTGATAACCATGGAGCTCACTGTTACATTTTATTGCTGTTTATGTATACGGTGTATCAGAATTTCCAATATGGTTATGTTTTCTTTTTTCCTTTATATTCATATTACTACATTATGTTACTCATAGCCTATACTCACTCAAGTAGGCTGTTATGCATTTATATTCATAATTCTAGTTGTAGGCCTACTCATATTCCATTGTATATTTCCTTCATTTGACATATAAAGGTAGGCTACATTATGTTATGTTCAAGTGATGTTTGGACAGGATGTTGGAAATGTATTCTCTGCTAAATATTTTATATGCAAGGATGTTTGCTAAATCTGTCTCCTATTTTCGTGATACTAAAAGTTATTTTCCAAGAGCCGGTATTTGCAAGATGATTGCTTAATTCTGTTGTTTCTGCTTAAAGGATGTAAAACCACAATCCACGCCTCCAGTATAATAATAGTGTTAATCGTTAAATCTACTAGAGTGCATATTGAAGTGCTCTGTATCTTTCAGGTAGTCACTGCACAGTGAGCACTGTAGGAGATGTGTCTGTGCTGGAGGGTGGGTCCATCACTGTCCCGTGTCACTATAACCCGCAGTACATCAGTCACGTGAAGTACTGGTGTCAGGGCCGGATGAGGGAGTTCTGCACGAGCCTCGCGCGCACCGATGACCCGGATTCAGCCCCTAACGGGAAGGGAGTGGTGACGATCGCGGATGACCCCACTCAGCACGTGTTCACCGTCAGCATGCGCGACCTGACGGAGGAGGACTCGGGCTGGTACTGGTGCGGGGTGGAGCTCGGGGGAATGTGGGTGTCTGACAGCACTGCCTCCCTTCATATCAGCGTCATTCAAGGTAAGGGGGATATATATATATTTGATCCCCTGCTGATTTTGTAAGTTTGCCCATTTGCAAAGAAATGAAGGGTCTGTCATTTTTATGATAGGTTTATTTTAACAGATAGAGACAGAATATCAACCAAAAAATCCAGAAAAAAAAACATTACATAAAGGTTAGAAATTGATTTGCATTTCAGTGAGTGAAATAAGTATTTGATCCCCAAGCAAAACGTGATTTAGTACTTGGTGCAGAAACCCTTGTTGGCAAGGACAGAGGTAAGATGTTTTTAGTAGTTGGTCACCAGGTTTGCACACATCTCAGGAGAGATTTTGATTCACTCCTCTTTACAGATCCTCTCTAAATCCTTAAGGTTTCTTGGCTGTCGTTTGACAACTCGAAGTTTCAGCTCCCTCCACAGATTTTCTATAGGATTGAAGTCTGGAGACTGGCTAGGCCACTCCATGACCTTAATGTGCTTCTTCTTGAGCCACTCCTTTGTTGCCTTGGT